CCCTCACCCCATTAATGGTGGAATCAAAGTTAACAATTCGTGTTCATCACGGAGATGGACGAAGCATATAATATGAATTGAACTTCCTTTATCATCCATTTGATGACCTAGCAAATATATGATTCAATCTGTACCTTGTTGTGTGAATGGATACGAGTGATCTCATACCGTGCCCCCGCTCAATCCGCTCGACCAGTCGATCACCCTATTTGCATTTTACATGGACTCTAAAGAGATCAGTTGCTTGAAGGGATGGGGTAATGTAATAACCTTCAAAATTATAGGTTGTTAGTCTTGTGCTATTCTGATTTTTTGTCGTTGTTCATTGCCTCCATTGGGATTACAACCATTTGAGTTTGTTCCAAGTACGGTGGTTATCGACATTGTGTTCTATATGCCTGTCTGTCTGTTTGTCTTATCGCTCGAGTGCTGTGTGTGTGACTGAAAATGATGACCTGTGTGTTGGGTTGGCCCTCTCGGACCCAAGTGTTGATCCCTGTTGCTATGTTGCTGGCCTATACAGAGGGTACAGGGCTAGTAAACTATAGTAGGCGAGGGGTAGGTAGGCCCTAGGCGACCAAAATAAAGTAACTACAAGTAGGTAGGCAAAAAAAAAACACAAAGGAAGTATTTTTTTATGTCCAATTATTTTCCTGAGATCCGATAGGCCTATAAGAGAAGTGCAGAAGGTGCTGTCTTAAATAGAGCTTGAAAAGGGTCTACGTCCAAGTCCTGTAGGTAGGATATCAGCCTGCAGTGATTTCCCTTCGAAAATGGGTAGAAATCGGTAGGGCCTAGAGGCCGGCTAGCTGCCCTTTTCCTTAGTGCACAACGACAATGTTGCTGGTCCGAGAGCTTGGCAGGTGGAGTGTCATGCAGCAACAACTAACTGAGATATTGTCTACCAATACTAATGTATTATAAATTTTTAAAATATCATCAAAAGTATTGCAAAAAATCCCCATTAAAATAGTAGTCCTCCAACCAGAAACAACTTCACCATATTCAAAATTAAAATTGTAAAGGTTTTAAAATACCACCACATCTGTACGTCTTTAAAGGTTTTAAAATACCACCCACATCTGTACGTCTACCTTTAGATTTAATAGTATCTTCAACGATTTAAATAGCCATAAATCCTAATTTTTATTTTTTATCAGAATTTGTTAATTTAAATCATTTTGAATTTTTTATATTGTGTATTATTTGAACTAAAAAACTTCTTTTAAAGTTCACTGTTTTTTTAGGACAACTTTCACTTTGTTGTCATTTACTTTGGAAATGAAGGCTATGAGGGTATAAGCACCCTTAAAGGGAATCTAAATGGAAACTGCAACCCTCATAACTACTCGTAAAGTCCGCGGTGCCGGCGGTGCAGGCTACGCCTGCAGAAATATCAAATGTTGTAGGTAACCTCACACAAACCGCTCACATAAACCGAGACAAACTTAAAAAATGACAGAGGGGTACAAAACGACAAGCGGGAAAAGGGTGACCCCACGCTCGGAAAAAAAGAAAAGGAAGACACAAAACGACAGGTGGGAAAATAAAAGGAAAGGAGGACAAAAAAACACAAACGCAGGAAATGGAAAAAAAAGAAAAAGCCGACCGGAAAAAAAAAACAAAAAAAAAGGAGGACACAAAACGGCAAGCGCGAGAAATGAAAAAAGGAAAATGGGGATACAAAATGACGGTCAACCGGGAAAAAGAAAAGAGAAAAAAAAGGCGGACACAAAACGACGGTCAAACAGGGGAAAAAGAAAAAAAAAAGTCGCCCGCATATTGGATGGCTCGCCTACGAGATGTTCGTCCACATCAACACCGTCCGCGTGCCCCGCCCCTGGGGTGCGCATTCTCGTTTAATGGCGCGCTGTGAACATTTCTGTACGCACGCCCCTCTGCATACTGCCCCGCCCTCGATTGCCTTCATCCGCCATCCCTCACTAAAACTTGGACCCAAATCTGGCGCTCAGTGCCTCGTGGGCCTCTCCCCCGCGACAAATGCGATAGGCGCTCAGTGCCTCTTGTTTACTTGTAAGTGTCACCGATTATGCTTTATAAATTGTTTTTGTGGTACCCACCCTGGCTA